TGGCCAAGACATCTCGGCCGTGCCCACGCCACACAACCAGATGCTTTTTCTTTTCTTTTTTTCCCCTCGGGCGTGGCCGAGACATTTCGGCCGTGAACGATGAAGGAAAAAAAAAGAAACGGGCCACGTGCCTGACTGAACTGCTAAAAAAGGTCGGTCCGAGTTTCAACTGAATCTGAAACTCGGGCCCTGACTGAACTTCTAAGACGAAGCTTGAAGTGCAGTTACAAACTGTAACCCTGACTGCGACGTAGTTTTCTCTTTTCTTAATAACCCGTCTCAGTAGTAGACCTGCCACTGTTGCCCCAAGTCTATTGGTGGGGGACCTCAATAAATCCTGATGTGAGACGGTGTAAGATGGAGCTACGGAGAGAGAATGCGTGAAGACCAGCAGGCTCTCCCATTGACCTTCTGAACTCCGGCAGAAGTGGTTCTGTTCCACGGCATGCCGCTCTTTCTACCTTCTTCCCCCGAATGCAAGGTACGGTGATTATAACTGTATTTGGGGTATCTTTCAGTCTAAATGCAGCTATAATGACCGTACGTTGTGTTGTATTCGGGGGAAGAAGGTAGATATTCTCCCAGGCATGGATATGTGGTCCTGCCACTTGGCAACTTATCAGCACCCATATCACCCATAAGGGTGTTAAAAAAAAAAAAAAAAACACAACAAGTTAAGACTGAAATCAGAGCACAATGGGAGAAAACTCAATCCGAATCGATGTCTTTACATCAGAAAAACGATATACAAAAACTAATTTGAAAATTTATCCTGAACTGGCTGGTGGGCCACAAATCCAACATCAGGGCACGCGCGCAAGAGAGAGAGAAAGCATCTGCACGTCGCCTGATCCAGCGCTGCCACGTGCTAGTGCAAGGAGAGGGAGGGAGGTGGCGAGAGAGAGAGAAAGATCCGGCTCAGGATGTGGCAGTGCAACGAGAGGGAGGGGGGTGAGAGAGAGAGTTGGGTGGGGACTGCCGTTGCAACACAACAGGCAACCGACAGTGCGCTGCCGAATCTTGTTTTAAATGCATATGACCGTGCAGGCGGTCATATACACTGGACATCGTGAGGGCGTTTTTTTTATTTGTTGTTTTTCTTTTTGTATTGCATCCGCCTGCTTATGTTGTTAGGTGCGGCCCTTCTGAACACCCATTGAAATTGGAACGCTTCAGAGAAGATAAGCATGGCCCCTGCGAAAGGATGACGCACCTAAATCAAGAAATGGGAAAAAAAAGAAAAAAAAAAGTGGTGAGGTGCGCTTGAATTTCACGCAATTACTGGGCCTCGGAGCTGTCAGGTGCCTCCTCTGCGCCGAGTACCGATTCCCCCAATTACTGGGCTGTCTGGTGCCGTTTCCCAAGAGATTAGGAATGGCCCGGACCCGTGTCCCCGCTCAAATGGACCGGCCCAGTACCTGGGAAGGAGCCTGTCCACAAAACAACAAAATTGCTCAATGCTAAGACACCCCATGTCTGAAGCCCCACCAGGTCTTATTCCTGCCTTTAGAAACTGGGACGGAACAGACCTACGGACGGAGTTATTTCTTTTACCCATTCCAAACTACACCTGTGACTTGAACGTACTTCCCCAAAAAAAACGGTACAATGAATAATTTATACCTTTTTGCAATCTTTTTCCAGATAGAAGTGATGCCACGTGAGCACTGCAGTAGGGAGTCACCGAGTAGGGCACTATGCCTGAGGTCACCATGCCTAGGGTGCCTGTGCCCCTCCTGACAGTCATAGCTGCGCGCTGCAGCGATGGAGTTTGTCTGCCTCCATTTAGCCTCGTGTGTTGGGAATGAGGGTGGGGCGTCCACAATTACACGCCATATGTACCAGGATCCGCGCAGGACGGCGCATTTAGTCTTCAGACAGGGATCCTTGATTGCATCACTATTTGATACCTTCAAGAAATTGCTTTCCTTCTTCACGACTATCTCAAGATGCCATGCCTCGTTGCCCAAGATAGGTCTTCTGTGAGCTCTCCTGTTGATTGAGGCTGCAGTTTCTGAGCATCTTCTCTGTGGTCAGAAACGGGATCAGGTTCTCTGCATCTAGTTAGATTCATGTCTTTGGCTGTTGCTGATTGGTCCTGTCACTGGTGGCCATTGCTTCCGAATTGGAAAGGAATTGGGTGTGACCATGGGATGGGCCTTTTTCCTTCTCCCCGCCCCCCGCCCCCGGCCGTGAGAGCAGCTTGATCTTTTGTGGGCGGATTTTGGACCCCTTTTCCCATACTTCGGTTAGCCGCTGTGCATAGGAACTTGGTGTTCGTTTTGTTGTTTCGGGCTTTTTTTCTTTTTTTTTCTTTAAGCTATATTCTTCTCTCAATTTCACCTCACACTACCTACCTACCACTACTAATCGTAGGCATACGGGGAACCCCGTAGCAGCCAGAACCGTGTTCACGAGAGAAGGTGGGCTATACCGGCCAGGGGACAGCCGGTGGCATCAGGGACCATGCCAACAGGACCAACCCCTGTGCCTCTCCTCAGGTGGCCTCCCCTACGAACATCAACAGACTCTGCTCAACGGCTATAGGGGGATCCAGTGGTCTATCTCTAGGTGGCGGGCGCCAAGCATGCCCAGGAAGGTACATGAGGCCAATGGGGATTGAACCCACGACCTCCTGAATGCCACTTGCGAGCCTTACCAACTGATTTCGTTGTAATTGTTGTTGTTGTATGATGTTACAACTGTAATTGTTGTTGTTGCATGATGTTACAACTGACAAAATAGCTCAGCATAATAAATAGCCACATCAACAAGAATAGTGCATCATCATGACACAATCACACAAGAAAAGAGAGAAGAAGAAGAAGAAGAAGAAGAAGAAGAAGAAGAAGAAGAAGAAGAAGAAGAAGACGAAGACGAAGGCAACACGATAGACGTGAAAAAAACGAACAAGACTTCGTTCGTCGTCGATTGAAAAAGTGAAGTACATTGACGAACGTACGGCGAGTGACCCTACCCGTTTCAGCTGGCCGCCGCAACCAGCCTCATCAGGTGTCTTAATTTGCTCGGTAATAACAGTCTATCTATTTATACTTAGAAAGAAGAAAAAGAAGTCGTAGATATCTATATTGAACCAAACAGACCAAACAGTACTTTGCGGAGAAAATGTCTAAGAACATTCTAGCAGGTACTTCTAAGTAATATCCGACCAAGAACAGTGTATCGGCCTTCAGGTAGGTTCTGAAAGGTCGCCGCCACTTGCAGCTAAAAAACTGTCAACGAGAAGGAAGGCGGAGGGCGGTACCGGTAGCGCCGACTTTGCGCTAACGCTGCGCTAATTTTGCTTTCGCAATTTTAGCGCTAGGGTTAGCCCAGAGAAGTCGAGCCTGCCGCTAGGGTCCCAGGGACCATCGCGGAAATGCGTAAGGCGTCTCTCGCTTCGGGATTCTCGAGGGTACAACGACAATTGATACTATGAGGTACTATCGAGCTGCTTGACCATCATCGCTTTGCAATGGTGGTTACGGGGTGGTAAAGCTACTGTTCATCCAGAACAGTAACACTCTCACGGAGAGTGGGCATTTCCACCGGGTAGCGGCTTGGTTAATTCCTAAACCGCCCGACGCCCCCGCGCACGGAGGATGAAGACCAGAGCACAAGTGGAACCGGCGAGACTTCGACGAACCTCTGCTTACTCCTGGGTGGGAGTTCGGTGACAAAGTACCGTTTTAGGTATAATCTCTTCTCGCTGAGTTACGTGTGTTTGGAGATCCATGTTGTGGAATCGACCTACTCCAGCTGACAAGGCCCAACTAACTTCCCATCTTTGTTTGCTGTTTCTGATTGGTCTATTGGGGATGAGTGGATCGATGGTTCCCCCGGGCCAGGGGGTCCGGGGGTATCAATCGGGATGAAGGCAATACACAACTGAAGAGAAAGAACACATTTCCTCCCTTCTCACCGCTTGCTACAGAGACGGGATTCTCCCGTCCGGTTTAGACATCGGGGTCGCAGAGATAGAGGAGGACATCGCGCGTTTTAGCATAAACGAAGAATTCTCAAACCTCAACGTTCAATGGCTAAAAGAACACACGGTGACAATTGTGTTTCTGAATGACGCTAACGCTCTCTCCAATAACCTCAAGAAGAAACTGGTCAGAGTTTACGAAAACAGTTGGTATGATGCCGGTATTCTGGACGAAAACGTCAAGCGTGGGCGTTACCAGAGCGAAGGTAAAAATTTAGCATCCTTCGTCTCCTCGGAACCGGCCATAATCCAGTGGATGATTCAGAAAAAGACTGACCAAATCCACACGGCCGATGGGAAGGAATATAACATCCAATTTGTACCTTGGATGACACTGCCTGAAATGCGCGTGTTCAAAGACGTGGGAATGAGCTATTTTTGGATTAGGGTTCTGAGGGTCCCCTTCCAGTTGATGTCGACGATGTATGCAGCGGTCGAACACACCTTTGGTTCGATTATTAAAGTTCACCCGATGGAAAAGGACGAGGACGATCCGGAATCAGGCTCCGTACGCCTTGATCTGGATGTAGCCTGTAGATCGCGTGTCAAACCCAGATTGGTAGTCCGGATCCTAGGACAGGGTGATTATTTCTTCGAAATTATTTCTCAAGCAACCTCGTGGTGTGAACGCTGTAGGATTTTTTACCATGACGAGAACGACGATTGTTGCCCGGGCAAAGTAGAGGATAACCCGTTTGGAGATTATACGGATGCACGGGAATTGCCGAACCCGCCCTTTTCAGGCTTTGTTCCTGAAGGGGACCGCCCACCCGCAACAGGCTTCAGAAGACTCCCAGCACAAGGCTGGCCTGCGCAACTGGTTCGTATGCCGAATCCAGGTGGGAGAAGGGGAGACACAGGCTATCGGAAGGGGAAGGATCATGGGTCGAAAAGCAAGAAAAGTCCAAACGGGGGACAGAACGCGACGGGAACAGAGAAGGAAAGGGAAGGGAAAAAGGACACCAGGTCGAAGAGTAAGGGAAAGAAGGGGGAGAACTGGTGGAAGGAAAAAGGGACATCAGGGTTAAGGAGAGGGAAAGGTGGTGAGACAGAAGGTTCGAGGCGTGCAAGTTTCAACGATCTGACATCAGAGTCAGAATCTGACAGTGCGGGTTCGGGCGAGGGAAAATTGGAAAGAAGAGCGGCAAGAGCTCTGATGAAAGCTAAGTCTAAAACGAAATCGAAGCACGTAAAGAAAATTCGGAAGGATGATGCCTCGTTTTCAGACCATGGGGAAGATGGTAGGGAGGGTAACAAAGGCTCGGAGGGGAAAGGAACCTCAGCAGAGGAAGGGCAATCAGGTGGCCTCTTGGGGGGTGTCCCAATGGAGACTCTGGGCAGAGGAGAAGCTGATACCCCGAGATTTTTAGTTCCGTTGATATGTGCTAACTCGAGTAAAGGGGTAAAGATTCTCGCAATTCAATTGGCCGATGGGTCAATGGAACTGCCAACAATCGAAGCTAACGAATCACTCACGGAATCGGTAATTCTTAAGAGGACTAAAGCAATTATTCCTTCTTGTGTGCAATGTCGTGTAATCCAATGTTTGAGAACAGAAGTTCACACAATTTCCACGGAATCCGGGAAAGTGAGATTTCTGTTTGCTTTTCTCAATGCTAAGATGGATAACTCAATAAAGGAAAAGCTGGAAGGTTTGGATTGGGACTGGTTTTCGTTTGAGATCTTAGATTCATATCTTAATGAGGAACTGGATTTCATCCGAATGAAGGGAGCCACGGCAAAGCTGATAGCAGAATGGTTGAACGACGCAGAGGTGCACAGGGGGATACTGTTTGACGGGTCACTGGCCGGTATTCTGCAGTCACCCTGGCTTTCTGAAAATGCAGCATTACAAAACCAGAATGGCGCACGAAGGCGGAAGCAGAGTGACCTGAACTTTGCGTCAGGGGGCCGGATCCATGGCAACGACGGCCTCCTAGGGTCCAATGGTGAGCAGCGGTAAGTTGAAAATCGTATCCTGGAACGTTCGAGGTCTAAATGACGCAGGAACAAAACACAGACGGAGTAGATTTTAAACCTGGATACACAAAAACCGAACACAGATAATCTGCGTGCAGGAATCTAAACTGGATGAATCCAGACTCAACGAAGTTAGTACATGGTGGACAGGATTACAGTTTTGGAGTCCGGCGAGGGGGGGCAAAGGGGATCAAGGGACGAGGGGAGGCGTGGGGATCCTGTTTCACAAGAACCTGGACATTCAGATATTGGACCATATGGCAGATATCTGGGGGCGATGGGTATGGGTGAGTTTTTCCATAGGTACTGAAGATTGGTCACTAACGTCTGCATATCTTCCAGTATCCTACGGGGAAAGAGTAAAATTTATATAAGAAATGATTAGTTTTATTCCAAACTCACCGAATCTGATAATAGCGGCGGATTGGAACACAGTTCTAAATTCTAGAATTGATAGTCCGAAAGTTGATCCAATCAGAACGGACACCAGGCTGCTTAAAGCCCTTATGACCAACCGGGGGCTATCTGATATCTTCAGGCTGCTGAATCAGGAGGACCCAGGTTATTCTTGGTTTGGTTCACAGACCCCACCCGTGAGGAAAAGACTGAATTTTTTCCTGACGAGGGGAAAACCCAACGAATATTGTACTAAAGTGGAACTGGGGTCTTCGTCGATCTCAGACCACTCCCCGATCAGTGCCACCTTTAAGATTGCCCCAAAACAACAGTTTGGACATTCATACTTCAAGCTCAACACTGCACACTTACAGGACCCAGAAGTTATCCAATGGATCCAAAGACACCTGTCTGATTGGGAAAAAGCGAAACCCCTCTTTAACACAGAGGAAGATTGGACTGAGGTGGGGTTTAGGATTCTACAAGGATCCTTAAGCAACATCTCCCAGATCAAGGCAGTTCATGCTAAGCAACAGGAGTTGAAGCTCATTAAGAAAGTAAAGAAAGCAGAGGAGGAATTCGAGAAACACCCGATCTCTGACGCCTATTGGACAGCAATCCGCAAAAGAGCACTCCAACAGCTAGAAGCACGAGAAGTAAAACAGCAGGAACAGTGGAAAACATGGCTG